GGATATGACTGTTCACAATTTTCCAGTACAATTGCTAACTTATAGGTGATTCTTAAAACAATAATTTCAGATATCAAAAACATTTGTTAAACTAAAGTTTACAATGCAGAAAAGCCAAATTTGAAAAATTTTACACAGAAGATGGAAAAAGCACATTTTAAATATACTCTACAGCATCAAAAAGCAAATTATAAGGTAATACATAATTTGCTAAGGAAGCAACAGAGTGAACATATACAATGAATCTTAGAAGCAGTTTGCTCAAAGCCAATCCTAATAAATTGTTTAAAATATGCTTCCTGTTAAAATCATATTGCTTCTATAGCTGTACAGATTTAGCAATGATAATTACAGCAAATGCTTACAGAGTACTCAGTAGTTAAACATTGATACTGGTATCCACCACATCATATAGTCCTCCTGGAAATGAAATAAGATGAATAACATTATTATTTTGCTGTTAACAGATGAGAGAAGTGAATCACAAAGGGCTTAAGTAAATTACTTTAGACTCATGCCTAGTAAGGGGCAGAGGATGTAAATCCAGGCAGTCTGACTCCAAAGTCAGTGCCTCTACCCATTATTAATTAAAGTACATGACTAATATAAGCTAAACTTGAACATAAGATCATCTATCATTTGCCCAATGAGAAGAGTAGGGAAAACATTTTTTATCAGCTCAAACATATATCTACATGTAAGAATGGAGATACAATTATCGAATGTCTAATTGTAACTCTAATTTCTATAGCTATGAATGATACAATTATCAAATGTCTAATCGTAACTCTAATTTATATAGCTATAAATGATACTTTAGAGAAATTAGCATAATAATTGAAATTTCTTTGTGTACATTCAAGTTTTATAACACAGTAACAATATAGCCTAGTAGTTTAGCAGAAGGACACAGGAATAAGACTGAGTTCAGATCTCTGGTCTACTATTTCCTAGTCTAATAATACTTGGCAATTTAGTCACTCTGCTCTCGATTTCCTAATTGTGTCAAACAGAAGTTGTATGGGACCTTCCTACCTCAACAAGTTGTTAGAATAAATAATTATGTTAAAAGGTGCACAGAGCTTAAAGAAGTACCTGGCACACGGTAAATACACCTAAGTGTTAGCTGTTACATTTTTCAAACACTTCATTTGTGCTCTCTCATGGTGTTTTTTTATATTATCTCCTCTAAGTTATTTAAACTGTAACTTCCAGGGCTATTACTGAAATTCTTATTTCAAACCACAACATCCGTTCACCTAACATTAGAAATGTTTTTGTTACTTAATAAAGTATTTATGATGTCTACAGTGAAAATATTTACATTTTGCTTTCAAAATTATTTTTTAAAGACTTAAAAACAACACAACACTTGCAATACTGAAGTCAAAGTCTCAAGTATATATTAAATTAGGGTTAAATGTCTTTGCTTTCTAAAAGCCAGCTCTGTCCAAAAGCATTCAGTAACATCACAGGCAAATCTGTCTTCCCCAAACAACAATGTATTGTTAAAAGTAAAAACTGAAATAATACAAGAAGAATTTAAATATCTCTAATACATGTATGGGAGAGTTGATAAGGAAACTGTTTTGTAAGGGATAATTTGGGGAAAATATAGTTGGCGTATGTGGGATATGGGGGGGTTACATTTATTTTTACCCTAATGATCAGGTTTCATTGTGGAACGTGACATGATATGCACACAGCTGCCAAATCTCCGCCTCATTTGGTACTTATGGATATAGCTGAAGGTAGGGGAAAACTGCCCAAGTTCAAATCATAATTTTCTGGCACAATTCTCCATGACACAGTAATCACAAAGCAGAAGGGAAAGAAGGCAGCTCTAAAATAATCTAAGTATAATTTCACCACATCCCTAAGAAAATCGTGTCCTTTTGCATGTTTGTAAAGTATGTGTTAGTATGAACATTAGCATGACTATCAAACTAACCAGACGACATTATTCATGAATAGAATGTCTTTTCCTTTTTTGTTGTACATTTGGTTACTGACATATTAGGTCCCAGGGAAGGACCAGGCAGCTGTTAAAGGCCCACTTCATGTTTCATCATCTCTTGACTTGGTTAGGGCTGTCTATTCCCAAGAAAGCCAGCTTGATTACTTCAGCAGAGGTCAGTATATTTACCACAGACTTCAGTCTCCTCCCCCAGAGTAGTGGAACAACATAATTTTTTTTTTTCCTAAAAGGAAGTCCTACAGGATTAGCCTCGAAATGAACTCATGTTCTCAAAATACTCAAGGGGCTTTTGTAAAATACCTTGACTTATGTTCTAAAGTCAGAAAACACCAAAAACCTAATCAGGTAGCTCAATTTTCTTACTTGGCTTCTCAACTGGGAAAAATGTAAATAAATATGTTAATTACTTTCACAGGCAGAGCAGAATTTGATTTGAATAACATCTACATCCAACTATTCATTTCTAAGCAGGCAATGTTTCATGCTCATATTCTTACATTTCATTCAAATTTGAGAGTGATATCTCTTCTACACCAGAATAAACATCAGAAGAAACAAGAAAAACTAGAATTTTTTTCAACCATGGGATCATTAGATAAAGTGATGGATTATCTCATCTTGTTGATGCCAAGAAACTCAACTTTATGGATGTGGCCTAAAGAAAGTACAATCATACAATTTATCAACCAAACTAGGATATTTCTGAGAGTAAAAATGGTACAATATTAACAATCATGTTGGGGGAAAAAAAACAGGCTTAAAAATGGGACAATGAGACTATCTCCAGTAAATCATAACATATGGTCATTCTACCTAAAGTCAAATAGATGATACCTAAATTAAAAAAAAAAACGCTAAAATGATTGGCAAAATGTGTTTAATTAAAGGGTTGCATAAGAAATTTCAGAAATTAAAAAATACAATTAGATAGAAGGAATAAGATCTAGTGCTTGGTAGCATAAAAGGGTAACTACAGTTAACAGTAATTTATTATATATTTCAAAATAACTGGAAGAGTAGCTCTGAAATGTTCTCAACACGAAGTAATGATGTTTGAAGTGATAGATCTATCCCAGTTACCCAGATTTGATCATTATACATTGTATAATGTATTGTATCTAAGTATCAAATGTATCTCATAAATATGTACAATAATTATAAATCCATAAAAATTAAAAAGTAAAAAGAAAAATAAATTCACTGGTGGAGTGGAAACCTCCAAGAGTAGCTGCCTGTTGGTCTCCAGAATCTACTCCCAGGTTTTTGGTTTTGTTACTATGTCCTCTTGCTGTTACTATTTTTGTTTGGAGAGAAGTATGCTATTTTGTATTATTTTTATTAATATTTATTTTGGGGAAGAATCAGCTTTGGGGGTGTATGTTGAGAGAAAAGTTTTACCTAGTAAAATTTTATTATTCTTTAGAGAACTGGACCCACCACAATGGTCTGGCTTCTTTTACGAGGACCAAGATACAAAGCAAGGACTTGTGGTCTAAGTCTCGGTAATATACGTGTAAACACTGAACAGTTCTGCCCATTGGTTAATAGATGGTATTTGGAGTTAGGATGCTCTGCTCATTAGTTAATTAGCATAGCATTTGGAGTTATGATATTCCAGACCGCACCACTTTGAAAAAGTGATTTAACATAGCAGCCAAGCAATTTTTTTCAGAAGGAAATAATCTAAACATCACTGTTCAGTTCACAACCTTCAGTGGTTTCCCATTTCCTTTAGAACCAGCACACAAACCTCACCAGGCTACTTCCTGGCCCCTGTCTAACACTTGACTCTCAGCTGCAATGTGGTTCCCCTCCCTTGCTGCTCCAGTCACCCAGGCTTCATCTAGAGGAGTGGTTCCCAAACTCAGCTGATGCCTGCCCCTCACAAGCCCAGGGACATGCAGCAATTTCTAGAGACATTTTTAGTTGTCACAGCTTGGCGGGGGAATCCTGCTCAACATCTTACACAGAATAGGCCCCAACAAAGAATCCTCTGGACCAGGGGTCCTCAAACTTTTTAAACAGGGGGCCGGTTCACAGTCCCGCAGACAGTTGAAGGGCCGGACTGCAGCCCCGGGATGAGTCGGCTGCTAAGCAGGACAGGCAGCGGTGGCAAAACCACCCGGCGGCCGGATAAATGTCCTTGGCGGGCCACATGAGGCCCGCGGGCCTTAGTTTGAGGACGCCTGCTCTGGACCAAAAGGTCAGTAATGCAGAGGCTGAGAAACTCTGATTTACGGGGCTCCTCACGCCCTACTTTCCTCATCCCAGGCCTTGCACGCGTCGTTCTCTCTGCATCAAACATTCAGGGCGTCCCCGGTTCCCCTCCTTTGCCCTTCCCTTTTCCTTTTTCCCTGTCCACTCTCACTCCCCTTTGATTACCATCCTCACTCTACTTTCCAGGTGAATCTTATGCCCTTTCAAAAAATTATGCAGCACTTAAGAACATCAGTAGCAACTGTACATGTACTTGCATGTGTCTGATTCCCCGCTCTCCACTATCCCCAGGTGAGCACTCACCATCTAGCTGCTATTTACCACGTTACCCCAGCAGCTAGCACAGGCTGAATGCTCAAAGTCTCCCTCATAAAAGGAAAGTAATAGGCTAACCATTCATTTCGTTGTAAAGATTAAATAACACACAGAAACTCTTTAGCACAATGCCTGAGTCACAGTAAATCCAGAGACACAGAGGGAAGTGGCCACGAGGGGAGCCTCCGTCTTTCCCACTTAAGCACTTCTTCGCCTTCATCCAGGCGCCGGCTCTGAGAAACACGCCCTCCTCCCGACTCGTAACCAGCAATTGCTGCGCCTGCGCTTTCCGGACTCCAGGACTAACCAGACTGCCGGAAGCACTTTCCCCCTTCCTACTGACCCGCCACAGACCTAGCTTGTCGATACTGCGCATGCTCTAAGGTTCGCCCCGCCCCCACCGAAGTCCAACCAGAGCACAAAACCTACCACCAGGCCTGCGCTAGCGGGCGTGCCCCGGAAGCAGTTCTTTAACCCTGTGACACGTAGCAACCGGGCTAGTTCCAGGATCTGGAACTGAGTTTGTGGCGTTTGGGGGTGCTGCTGGAGCGACCGCCACCGCCGCCTCAACCTTTGGTGAGTTTCCTACGCCCGCAGCAGGCTACTGGGTTTCTCTCCGAGCCGGTGCAGTTCGGCTGTCTGCAGTCTGTCCGCGCCGCGCCCTGGTCCCTTCGCTCAAACCCTGGATCCCTTTCCAACCCCGTGCTCTGAAGCGACCCCTGCACTTCAGGCGTGACCTTCTGAGATTCTGCACTTTCCTGGTAGGCCTTATTTTTTATTTTGCAGGGAAGCAGTCGCGTTGTCAGCTGTAAAGCTCTGTACCCAGGCGAAGAATCAGCTTTGTTATTATCTCAGCCCCCTGTGGAACCACTGCTCCCACGACCTCGCTCCTAACCCAAAGGTTCATCAGCTCCCTGAAGTAGAAATGCCCTCAGGAGCTTCAACATACTAAACTAGACATTTCCCTCGTGTCTCCCCCATGCCGCTGTTCCACAGAATTACTGAGGAAACATCTGTTGTCTTCTGGGGTTTTTGCTTAAGCAGAGTGCCGGGAACGAATTCACTAGGACCTTGGGCATATAAGCAGTGTTTGCCTTTTTTGTTTTGTTACAGATCATTTGCAATGTCAGGCTTTGAAAACTTAAACACGGATTTCTACCAGACAAGTTACAGCATCGATGACCAATCACAGCAGTCCTATGATTATGGAGGAAGTGGAGGACCCTATAGCAAGTAACTTTTAAGATTTTGCAATTTAGTCTACATTGAAGTGAAAACATATATTTAGAACGCTGTGTTCTGCCTAAAACTGAATTGTAAACATGTCGTTTCTCAAGAATGATTTTTTTATAATCCTTCCTCTGGAGAGATCTGGTTTGTGTTTGAAGGTGTTGCCATATTTAGAGATTAGTATTTTCTGCAAAATATTCAGGGGTTCCATGACTGGGAAAGTAGCTTGTTAAAGAACTATTTCTTTTCATTTTCATGAACTTAAGTGGCCATGTAGTATTTCTACATGATTTAAGATGAAGACAGGGTCTTTACCTAGAAGACAGGCTATTCACTCCAAAGGATGAATTAAAAATTAAAGTCTTTTGTTTACTAGATAACTCATTCCAACTGTCAGACTGTCAACACTTCTGAAAGTTCTTAGTGACATACTTAACAGTGTAACTCACTATTATGAATCGTCAGGTGATTTTCATATGGCAGTTGATAATCATTTTTATTACTCATACTGAAACCATGTGGTCAGTATTAACGCAGGTTATCACTTGCAGATTGAAGAGGGCAACTCAAAGTCTTAACTGTAAAAAGCTCTACACTGTTTTTAAAAATGACTTTTTTATAGTCTGGTGTTTTAGCAAAAATATGTAATTGGTATTTGGACAAAGACACATCAACTGAAAGCTTTCTAACAGTCTCTTCTACACATCTTATCCTTAGTCACTTAGAGCCTTTGAGATACTTTTATCCACCTCCTGTCAAAAGAGCTTCTTACACTAGGATTACGTAACCTTTTTTAGAGTGTTCTGGATCTTTCTGAGAATCTTATGAAAACTGTAGGCCTGTTTTCCATAAATATATGCATGCACTCAAACACCCACATAAATATGCACATGACTTAAGACAATGCATGTGCCATCTGATGTTCATCCATGGATTCTGAATTTAAAACCTCATGAAGACTATCTCCAGCATGAGAGCAAGGAACAGTTGTATACCCAGTCAGTCTGTGAGAAGACATGCAATACTAGAATGTGCTTGAATGAAAATGCCCAAGAATTTAAAAAACAAAAGAAAAATCAAATTCAGCCCCACTATGTCTTGGATAGGCTATCCTTTTTAAAACCTATAGACTCTTGAATCTGCTTAATTTGATTTATTCTAAGGCTTTGTTTTCCTCCTAAAACTTAATACATTGAACAATGGGGGTGAACATGTAAAAATACTATTTACCTATGAATCGTTTTTCTCTTTTCTATTAAATTCTCAACTATATACTAGTGAGGATTTATTGCTTGATCAATTAATTGGGCAGAATTGGAAAAATTATATTGAGATGTTTCTATTCATTTATTTACCTAAATATGTATTTTTGATTATTGTTCTGCCTTTGGAAGGGCAAATGAATATAAAAGATTGACCAGAGTCCATCTAATGAATTCTTGCTCTGCGGAGAACTGAAATGAGATGATAAGTGGAATCAAAGGATAAGTCACACTTTAAAGTGATGGAAACATGGACAAGACAGGAAAGGAAAGGAAAGCAGCAGATATACCCATCAGGAGGCAGCAATTAAAAACGAGATAGTTCTGTGAAGTCTAAATGTAAGAACCATTTGATTAAAAACAGGCCTGCATTCAGAGACAGGTCCTGTTGCTGCTATAGGCAAGAATTCATTAGATGGACTCTGGTCTGAGGATTTTCATGAACTTAAGGAGCCAACCCAATATGTTAAGAGGCTTTGTCTTTGTTGTTGGTACAGAGGGCTTGTGAGTATTGATTTGGTATGTGCTACTTTTCCCTGCCAGAAAAGTGCTTTGCTTTAGTCTATAAAGATTATGTCTGCTTTATCATGTTTGGTTTAGGTGTGTTGATGTGTGTAGTGATGTCAAAGCAGTGATTGGTAAAACTTCTGAGTATGAATCAAGGCAATGGCAACAAGTAGTCATTGTATTCCTCTTTCCTAGACGCTTGTTTTCATTGTATTCCTCTTTGCTAGTCGCTTGTTGGAGAGTGGGCAGAGAAGTGCTTCTTGGTGAAGCAGTAAGAATTATTGTTTTGTTAAATCCTGACCCTTGAGTACACACATTTCTTTAATGTTCTCTAAGACAAAATGGAAAACAGTCCTAACGCATTTCTCCATCGTAAAGTATGGTGGCTGACTATAGGAAAAACACCTATGGAATTTGAGTTGCAGTTTGAATCAGCTGCTTTTTATATAGACCATTTTTATTTGAAAGAACACTTGACAGACTGGTTATTCAGACTTGAGTACTTTGCACATATTTCTCAAAAATGGATGAAGTAAGGCTGTCATTTCAAGGAAAACAGCTGATAGTGTGACTACAAAAATTTTAAAAGTAATTAGACTACAGGCTTTCTGAGGCTTCTCAGCTCTCATGTTTTAAAATAATTATTTCATGTCTGATTCTTAGTACATAATTTGAAAAATAACATTGATAGATAAGTCATATTTTTCCAGGACATCATGAAACAGCTATTTAAAGATGTAGCTTCACTGTGGGTACACTGGAGTACACAGAGTGATACAGGGACATTGGAGACTCAAAAATGGGAAGAGGAGAGGGCAGTGAAAGATGAACAGTGACCCATCGGGCACAATGTATACCGTTTGGGTGACAAGTACACTAAAAGCTCAGACTACCACCACTGTACACTACTCATCCATGTAACCGAAAACCACTTACATCCCTAGATCTATTGAAATGAGATTAAAAAAAAAAGAAAAGGATATGGCTTTCATATCCTTGTATTCCCTGTTTTCATAGTCAGCTGCAGTAGCCATGGTAAAATGCTTTCCCTCTAAATTCAAGGATTGCTAGATAGAACATAACAAATCAGACAGTAGGTGTAAAACTACTTTGAAAAATTAAAAGTACTTCAAGATGTACTAGTAATGTTTCACAAAATTTTCACAAAGAACAAGGCTTGATTCTTTAATTTGAAATTGGTTGTTTTTGAAGATGTCCACCGGCAAAAAATAACCTTTACAAAGAGTAAAGAAGTGCAGTAATTCAATGGGTATCCAAATTACATTGGAAAATCACATAGCATATAGCACAAAGTCAGTCATCCTGTTCTGATTTATAGTCTTAGGCACAAATGTTCACAACATATCTTGTGTACGTGGGTCATTTAAAAATTTTCAAAGATAACAAAAATCAAGAAACTTAAAATACACGTGGATGGAAGCGCGTGCAGCCCTCCCAGCAACACTGATAAGCTAAACGAGGTGAAACTTGCGTGAGTGAGTCAAAGAGGATGCTGTCAACTGTGTTTCTTAGAAGTGGAATCATGGACCATATCACAATCTGTCTCAAATTCATAGTGACCCATGTACATTAACTAAGGAAGAATTTTTAAGTTTTCATTTATTTACCTCCTAATATTTAATAGTTTAAGTTTGCAACATTTTTAAGTGCTATGTAAGTGAATATTAACATTACTTTCTAAATCTAAAAAGAGATTACTTTTCATTGCAGATAATCAGCTTGATCTTAATAATTATCTTTTTTTTTTTTTAATTGAATGGTAACTGTGTACATTGATGCACTTTGGGGGTACAGTGTGGTGTTTTCACACACAATCCAAGACACTTCCATCAAACTGGTTAACATAGCCTTCATGTAACTTTCTTAGTTATTATGTCAAAACATTCATATTCTACTCATAGAAAGATTCACTTGTACCCTTGCAAGATGAACCACAGAAGTGAACCCTCGAATCCCTCTCCCTCCACCCTCTCCCGCTCCCTCTCCCTCCCCATATCCTTAGGTTGTTATTAGGTTTTAGCTTTCATATAAAAAGGTTTAAATTAATTTCATAATAGGTGTGTGTACATTGGATACTTTTTCTTCCATTCCTGTGATACATTGCTAAGAAGAACCACCATTTATAAAAACTGGCAATGTATGGGCAGTGCCTGTGGCTCAAAGGAGAAGGGCGCTGGCCCCATATTTCAGAGGTGGCAGGTTCAAACCCAACCCTGGCCAAAAACTGAAAAAAAAAAAAAAAAAAAGCAAAAAACAAACTGGCAGTGTAGATATCTTAGTAATAGCATGACTAAGATTCTCTAGCTGTCAATTGAAAAATTAGGAATTAAGAGATACCAACTATCTGAGGCTTTAAATACTTCTGAGAAGTTTACCTTCTTTTGATTTATAGACAGTATGCCAGCTATGACTACTCGCAGCAAGGCCGATTTGTCCCACCAGACATGATGCAGCCACAGCAGCCATACACGGGGCAGATTTTCCAGCCAACTCAGACGTATACTCCCTCACCTCAGCCATACTATGGAAACAACTTTGAGGATGAGCCGCCTTTATTAGAAGGTAGGATCAGTTACAATACAGTGCCCAGCTGGTTGGTCTGTGAAAATAAAACTTAATTTGCATTACTGTTTTTTCCTTTAAAAGAATAATCTTGTAGAAGTAAGTTTTGATTAATTCATTTTCAACAGAGTGTATATCAAATCACATTGGGCCAGATGGGACTGAATTTTTAACATATAAAATAATAATAAAGTATGTTGTATGAGATCAACTTTAACTTAACTAAATTCTATTAGTCGAAGAAGTAAAAGGACATAGCAGGGTATCCATTATTCTTCGTGGAAATAGACTGGCCGAACTAGTGACATCACTAAAAAATAGGGTGGTTTTCAAATGGTATTCCAAAAGCGAAAAAGTAGTAGTTTTGAACCTTTTTTTTTTAGATCATATGCCCTTTGAAAATGTAATGAAAAGTATGAATACTCTCCTTATAAAAATTTACACATATAGAGACATAGTTTTGTATACAGTTTCATGGGCCACCAGGTATTCTTGAAGCCCCAAGTAAAGAACCCATTACTGTTAACCCCATTCAGGTATTCTTTACTATGTCACGATAGTAGAAAGATGTAATGAGTGTCTGTTTTATCATATTTACTATGCTTTTCCAACAACAGACCAGTAATTATTTGTGGGGTAAGCACCACAAGCAGTAAAAACAGGTATGGAGGACTCACTAAAGTAACACCCAAGTTTAATAGATCCTTTTTGATGCTGGATGTGTCATTTTATCTCCTGTCCAACATAGATTCTGCTAAATTTAAGGTATACTACAAATCCTAATTAATTTTCTTATTTTCCTTTCTCTTAGAATTAGGTATTAATTTTGACCACATCTGGCAAAAAACACTAACAGTGTTACATCCATTAAAAGTGGCAGATGGTAGCATCATGAACGAAACTGATTTGGCAGGCCCGATGGTTTTTTGCCTTGCCTTTGGAGCCACATTATTGCTGGTAAGATTTTAATTTCAGCTCTCAATGTGAGATTAAAGAACAACCTTTAAATGTTCCACCAAAAATCCATTTTGAAACTCTGCTTATACCTCCAGTCTCTCGTGTGTTTTGGATAGTACCGAGCTGCTTGCTTGTGGACATACCCGTTCATCACTTCTCTATCCACAGTAAGCACAGGAGATTCTAGAATAATGTCTTATTCTAAGAAGTGATGTAATTATTAGGCAAAAAACAGTAACATATATGGCTTTGATCCATCATTAGAATGTCTTCTTTTCAGAGGTTGACAAAATTTTTTACCCTGTTGCTGTCTTTTTTAAAATAATAACATTTTTATAATCTCTATACATTAGTTAATGTTTTCTTGTAGTTACGCTGATGATTACTTTCCTATATAATTATTTATCTTTCACCTTTCCAAGAATGTTACAGCATATTGAAAACAAAAAGGAAAGTTGGAAAGATAATTATTTTATTTTTTTAGAGACAGTCTCACTTTGTCGCCCTCAGTAGAGTGCTATGGTGTCACAGCTCACAGCAACCTCCGGCTCTTGGGCTTAGGTGATTCTCTTGCCTCAGCCTCCTGAGTAGCTGGGACAACAGGCGCCCACCACAATGCCTGGCTATTTTTTTGTTGCAGTTTGGCTGGGGCCGGGCCTGAACCCGCCACCCTTGGTACCCTTGGTTTATGGGGCCAGCGCCCCACTCACTGAGCCACAGGTGCAGCCTGGAAAGATAATTATTAATATGGTTTGTCCTTTGTCTTTGAACTATAGGAGATAAATAATATAATCTTTTTTAATTCATTTTTTATTTCAAATTAATATGAAGGTACAAATTTTTAGGTTACGTTGTTCTCACTTCCAGGGTAAAGTTCCATTTGTAGAAGAGCCCTTCACCTAGGGGGAGTGTTATACACCCTCACAATGTACACATTAGCTGAGATCCCGCCTCGTGTCCTCCCTTTCTGCCAATCATCCTCCCCACTCCTCCTTCCCATTTCCCTCTTCCCCCAGCTAGACTGTGTTAGTGTTTTATTGTTCTTTTGAGCACGTAATTGTTCATATATCGATTTCGTACTAGTATGAAGTACATCAGATATTTTTCCATTCTTGTGATACTTTACTAAGAAGAGGGAAATAACGTAATCTTAGCAAGATTTTTAGTCAGAGGAGCTAGGCTTGAACTCAGTGCTCCTACTCTGCATTTGGCCAAGCTGTTAAATTTGTCAGCTCCCTCTGACAGATAATAATCTGTGCTGTAATGATACCTAACAGGATTGTTTTGAAGGTTATCTGAGAACACATTGAAAAGTTAAAACCACTATTTAAGCATGAGGTTTTATTATTACTACCTGAATGAATTCATGAATTCATCAGTGAACTCAGCTGAGCTTTTTCAAACATCTGCACACATAGTCATGTATTGACAAATAATTAGTGAGTCTAACAAAAATCCCAGATATTTTTACTTAACATAATCTACCAAGGCATTCTTGTCATTGAGGTCTATATGACAAACACTGGACAAATCAGGAACTTTTTGAAGGCTTCCCTGTAGGCCAGTTTTAGTGATAGTGTAACCTGAATACAATGCTTGTTCACAAAGCTTGACTAAGAGTAAGATAGTGCCAGTGTAGCTAATCTGTGCTGTCCTGAGGCTGTTTATGTACCTGTTTTATAAGGGTTGGTTGGTTGGTTTTACAGACTATATAAATCAACAGTTCAGAAAAATGATGAAAAAAAAAAAAATCTTCCATTATATTGCTACCTTCTCCCCTCTCCACAGAAGCCTGGCTACCTTTCTTCTTGTTCCTCATTCACCTGTATAAAGTGATGATAAAATTTCTGCTCAAAAAGATTATGGTTACATTCACCAATTAGAATAAATTGCTTTGGGACATTATTTTGTGGAATAAGCCTTTAAAGTGATGTTACTATCCCCAGACGTTCTGCATCACTTCATTCTGTCCACGTTGTCTTGCTAGTCCATTTGCGTAGAATGGGCTACAGTAATCTATTTTAGGTGACTACATTGTGATCTTGTCTCTTTATTTGTTCAATTCCATGGCAAGTTTAAATGCCAGCTATAAAGTAGAAAACCAAATATCTGTGTACTTTTAAGGTCAAAAGAATGTAAAAAAACTACTCTGTTCCAGTAGTTTGCTTCTCTGCTTAAAGAATAGCTGCCTCTACAGATTTGGATGCTCATGAGTCTTATCATATATATATATATGTATGTATATTGTTTTAGGTGAAATAAGGCCAAAAATAACTTATCGTTTGCCCTTTAACCTATAATTTTCTCTTTATCCGTAGGCTGGCAAAATCCAGTTTGGCTATGTATATGGGATCAGTGCAATCGGATGTTTAGGAATGTTTTGTTTATTGAACTTAATGAGTATGACAGGTGTTTCATTTGGTTGTGTGGCAAGCGTCCTTGGATATTGTCTTCTTCCCATGATTCTCCTTTCCAGTTTTGCAGTCATATTTTCTTTGCAGTAAGTACTAATCTTTACTTTGGGGTTTGATTGACCAATTGTGTGTAATAGGGTTCACCTCATCTTCAGGGTGAGACAAATCACTGATTCAGCAAATACATCAATCAGCTAGTGCCTCTTGCTGGTAAGAACAGTGCTACATGCTTTAGGATGATGGGAGGTGGAAATGAGCATAGACTTTAATAGCTTCTGTACCATCTCTACTTTACTCATGATCAAGAATTCCACTAGTTTTGTGTTTATTTACTAGGTGTCTCAGTGGTAACAAAATAATCAGTAGTGATTGTTAACTTAAATATTACATTATAAAGATCAAGTCATTAGAGTATTAAAATTATGCTTACCCTTGATATTTTTTAGATCATGTCTAGTTAAATTCTTGGGCATATGCCACATGTATAAATAATAAATATATACTCTCTAGTTGGTAGCTTTTTAACCAATATGTTCATATGAAAATGAACATATTCTTTTTATTACAATAGGCTGTTACTAGCTTGCCATGTTCTCAGCTGTAAGCAGCTTTAAATAGATATAATTTTAAAATGATAGGTTAAGTTTTTAAAAAGGCTGCTTACAAAGCTCCTCCAGTGGCCAGCGTACAGATTTTCTCTCAATAGTGCAAGCTCCTCATGGGTGACGTGGACCCTAACAATCATAGGGCTTTGTTTCACACTGAAAGTTAATACACTGACTCCCATATGAATTGTATTTGACTTATGCTAGTTTTGAGCCTGGGGCCTGGTAAAGTGTGTATAACTCAAATTTCTTGACCTATCTTGACCTAATAAGACACTGTTTTCTGGTGTGGTGTCAATGTGTTAAAATGGGGCAGGGATTGGTGGTTTACACCTGCAATTCTAGCACTTTAGGAGGTGGAGGTGGGAAGATCACTTAAAGCCAAGAATTCCAGACCAGCTTGAAAGACAGTGAGACCCCTTTACTTTAAAGAATAGAAAAAGGTTTTGGTGGCTCAAGCCTGTAATCCTAGCACTCTGAGTGGCTGAGGGAGGTGGATTGCTTGAGCTCAGGAGTTGGAGACCAGCCTGAGCAAGAGTGAGACCTCCCCATCTCTACTAAAAATAGAAAAATTAGCCAGGCATTAGAGCCTGAAGTCCTAGTTACTTGGGAGGCTGAGACAAGAAGTATTAGACAGTGTGAGACTGTCTTAAAAAAGAAAAAGAAAAGAATGGAAAAATTTGCCAGGTGTGGTGGTGCTTGCCTGCAGTCCCAGTACTTCAGAAGGCCTAGGTGGGAGGATCTCCTGAGCTCAGCCATTGGAGATTGCATTGAGCTATGATGACACCTCTGTACTCTAGCCCAAGCAACAGAGTGAGACCTTGTCTCAAAAAGAAGAATAGAAGTTAAAATGGAGGTTTAATTGATCAATGAATGCCATATATCAATTATTTGTCTTATTACTAGAAATTTGACAAAGTAATACTTTATAGTATTACTTCTTTGCATTAAAATACTGAATATTTTCAGTGTAGAAACTACTCTTATTTGTTAAGAATATATATATTTACATTTGAATTTTAAATAAATTACTTTCTGCTAAAACACAGTCTCAACAAGGAATGATTTAGCCTCCAAGGGGATATTTTGGCACTGTCTGGAAGCAATTTTGATATCTTAGCTGTGTGTTGGGGAAGGGGGGGACTACTAGTATCTTATGGGTGGAGGCCAGGGATGCTGCTGAACATCTGTCCACTAGTGCACGGCCCCCAGAGCAGAAGATGGATCCAGC